AAAATTAAATATATTATATAATTTTAAAAATAAAATAAAATTAAATATTATAAATATAAATATTTTTATAAAAATATAAATATATATATAATATATTTAATATATATATAATATATATCATCGAATGACTTCCTCGGCTCTTCCACCGAAAGGTTTTTATAGGGCTGAAAATTGGGGGAAAGGGGAAAGAAAAAAGGGGGAAAAAAAAGAAAAAGAGAAAGGTACCAAAAAGATTAAATAAAAGAGTGAAAAAGCTTAAAATATATACGCAAAAAGGGGAAGGAGAGTGGGGAAAAAATAAAAAGGGAAGGAAAAAGGGAAAAAAAAAAGGGGGAAGAACGCATTTGAAAAAAAGGGGAGGAACCCGGACAAAAAGAAGCAAATAAAATCGAGTTTTTGGAAAAATGAAGAAAGAGAAGAAGAAGACTCGGGATACTTAAAAAGTGGAAAGGGGATTTTGGAAAAATAAGTAAAATAAAATAATAACAAGTTAGCAGGGGAAAACCGAAACACAATATAAGAAGAGGGGAATTAAGATAAAAAAAAGAAACAGAGAAAAGACAGAAGATTTTGATAATAAAAATTAACAAGTAATAAAAATGAACAAGACCCAAAATATTGAAAAAATAAAGAAAACAACTTTCATAAACGAAAAAACATTTAAGAAAAATTTGACATGAAAAAAAGGGGAAAGTGTGATAAGTTCTGCGGTTCACTTTCAATGTTCGGGTGTATATACTGGCATTCCATGTTTTAAATTTTCCCATAAAAACATGAAAAAAAGGACCACACCAAAACACCACACACACAACACACCCCAAACACACACACACAAACACACAAAACCCCACACACACACACACACCCCAAAAACACAAAACAACTCACGCCCACCGCACACACACACACACACACACACACCACACACACACCACACACAACATGCACACCACACACACCACACACACACACCAGCCGCACGCCGCACACACACACAACAACACACACAAACACACCACACACCACACACACACCCCCACACACACCCACACACACACACACGCACACACACCACACACATACACACACACACCCCACACCACACAACCAACACACAAAACCACAACACACCCACACACACACAACACCACACAACCACACACGCGCGCGCGCACGCACGCACCGCTTTAACACACACACACCCACACACACACAAACACCACACACCACACACACACACGTACACACGCACCACACCACCACACCACACCCCAAAAACACACACACACCACACACCCCAAAACCACAACACACACACACCACAACCACACCCAAACGCACACACACACACAAACCCCAACACACACCACAACACGCACCAAAAGCACGCAACACACAACACACACCACACACACACCACCACCACACACCACACAAAAACACACCACCACATTTAATTATGCTTTATATGCAATAAATCACAGTAAACGGGTGATCAAATATGCAAAACACCACTAAAGAATAAAAATTCCCAAAGCTTTCGGACTCTCCTCACCTCATCATCTCCCTAAATCACCCTTCATCCCCCACTCACTCATCATCTCCCCACTCACCTCATCATCTTCCCCCCACCCCCCATATCTCCCTACCCACCTTCTTTCCCCCTGACTCACCTCATCATCTCCCCCTCCCTCACATCTCTCTCACTCACCTATCTCTCCCCACCCCCTCTCATCTCCCACTCCCCTCATCATTCCCTCACACTCATCTCTCCCTCACTATCTCATCTCCACCTCACCTCACATCTCCCACTCCCTCATCATCTCCCTCATTTCCCCCTCATCACTTCCTCACTCACCTCACATCTCCCTTATCCCCACATCTCCCTCACACCTCAACATACCCTTCACTCACCTATCATACCCTTTCCTCCCCTCATCTTTTCTCTACCACCTCACCCTCTCCCCTAACCACCCATCATCCCCTCACTACCTCATCATCTCCCTCACTCACCTCATCATCCCCTCACTACCTCAACTCCCTCACTCACCTCACATCTTCCTCACTCACCTCTTCTCCCCACTCTCTCTCATACCCCTCCCTCACTCATTTGTCCCTCACCCCCCCCAATAAACTCCCTACTCACCTCTCATCTTCGTCCTCCTCTTAAACCCTTACTCACCTCATCATCCCCTACTCAGCCTTCCCTCACCACCTCATTCTCCCCACTCACCACCACTTCCCATCATCATCATCTCCCTACTCAACCACCTCCCTCACTCATCTTTTTCCCCTACAACCTCATCATTCCCCTCCCCTCTATTTTCCCCCACCTATCTCCCCACTCACCCATCATCCCCTCACTCACCTCAAATTACCTAAATTTCCCCTCATCTCCCTCACTCCCCTAACCACCCCTATACCTCTCATCTTTTTCCTCCCTCACTTTCTCATCACCTCATAAAATTCTCTCATCCCCTCTCATTCCCCCCCAAACCTCATCTTTTTCCTCACTACCCACTCCCCCACTCACCTCACCCTTCCCTCACCGCTATAACTTTCACCCACCTCACAATTTCTAACTCACCTCATCCTTCCCCATCCCCTCATCATTTCCCTCACAAACCCCTTTTTAACCCCTCATATTCATCTCCCTATCCCCTCCCATCCCCACTCCTCTCAATCTCCCCACCCAGCTCATATCTCCCTCCCATCCATCACCCCCACTACCTCATCTTTCCCCTCACTCCCTCACTCCCCCACTCCCCATCATCTTCCTCACTCACCCTATCTCCCTCACTCACCTCCATTTCCTCCTCACCTCTTCCCCCTCACTCACCTTCATCTTCCTCACTCCCCTCCATATTTTTCACTCACCTCTATTTTCCCACCCCCTAACATTTTCATCACTCAACACTTTTTCACTACCCTCATTTCTCACCCCCTCATCGTCTCCCTCACTCACCTAATCATCCCCATACCCCCTCCTCTCCCTCACTGCCTCACATTTTCCCTAAACCATCACATTCCCTCACTCACCTCATCATCCCCTCCCACCTCACCCCATTCCCTCCCCCTCATCACCCCTCACTCACCCACTTTTCCCCTCACTACCTCTCATCTCCCTCACTCACCTCATCATCCCCACTCACCCATACTCCCTAAACCCCCTCATATCTCCCTCACTCACCCAATCCCCTCACTCCCTCTCACCCCTCACTCCTCATCACTCCCCCATCACCTCATCATCTCCCCACTCCCCCATCATCTCCCTAAACCACCTCATCACCCCCTCACTCACCTCATCTCCCACCATTCAAAACTCCCTCATCACATCATCCTCCCCATCACCTCATTTTTCCCCCAACATCCCCTTCATTCCACACTTTACCTTAAAACATGCACTCCCACTTTCCACTTATTTTCCCCGTTGGGGCACCACACACACTGCTCCCACCACCTCTTCCTCCCCCCCCCCCCCCCTCCCCCTTTTTCCCTTCCTTCTTTTCCTCCTCC